CAGGTTGAAATAAATGTAAATGAATGAGAGAAGCAGCCTTGGTGGTCTTTTTATCAAGCGGCAGTACTTTACAAATCCTGGATTGAATTTTTCAAGTCAAAAATGTTTATTTTAAATTCTCACATGAACATTTATGGGCACCAGTCAGAGCAAGTATGTGAGAGGGCAAAATTATTTATTATTTTTAAATTATAATTTATATATATATATATATATTCGTTTTTTTGTATTTTTATATTATATATAATTATTTAATATATAATTATTTTAAATTATATTATATATAGGCTATTTTTATTTTACATATATTTATTTATTTTAGTGTTTCATTTTTTTTTATTATTCTCACGCTTAGTAAATGCTGAGGTATGTGAATATGGTAGTCACACAATACCATGGTGTTTCTGTCTGATACTCATACCATGGTACACCCTCAGTACTTTTTATCAGAGCCACGTGTGTCTATTTTCTCAAGCACTGGTTGTCAAAAATTAGTTCCGTTGTTGAGATTTAAAAAAGTGTTTATGCGAACATGCTCGAGTGTTTGTTTACTTGTGCAGCGGGTATTGAGTACCCTGCCGAAGCGTAATACCCGAGAGAGCATGTTGTGTGTGTATGTTTATGTTTACATGAGTACTGTTATCTAGTGGCTGGTGTAGAGGTGTGTATACCGAAATGAGCTGCTGTTTAATGGCTTGATGAGATGATGGCAGTAATCAGTGAGAAACGAGACGAGCGCTGAAAAGCTTGGTCCCTCCCTTCTCACACGCATGCACACACTCTCCCTACTGGCGGATGATTGACGGCCTGAGGGTTTTAATGGCACTGTAGAGGGAGAGCTGAGGTCGGGGTTGTCATGGCAACAAGGCGAAGGAGGCCTCCTTCTCCCCTCTTCCTCACTCTCTCTTTATGCACCTGAACAGAGCAGCATCTTACTCGCAGGACTTGGTTTACTCACACACACACACACACACACACACACACACACTGCAGTTCCTCCCCTCTGTCCGCAGTATACACAGCTCTTTGTGTGTTTAAGCATGTGCGTGTGTGTATGAAGCCATATCTAGCCACCGCAGTCTCTCTCTCTCCTCGTAAAAGAGCTGGAGCCCGAGCGCTAATACTCTCTGGTCGCCCCGGGTTACGGTTCACTACACGCCCCCTGTACTGCTGTGTTAGCTGGGATTGGTTGGGTTGGCGAGGGGGGACTGAGTGTGAGTGTGTGTGTATGGCACAGGGGGTGATGCTGTATAACAGCTCTATAAGAGCCACAGATCTCAAGGTGGAACAGGCAACCAGACACTGTTCACAGACACTCACCTCCCCTGAGTATTTGATCAGTACCAGCTGCCAGTATCACAACGTGTGTGTGTGTGTGAGTATGTGTTTAGGAGTAAACTCTACCTCAGTCTTACTACTTGCCTGCCTCTTGAGTGTGTTTGCATGTGTTGTAGCAGCACGACATAAGCTGAGAAGATTATTTCTTGACATTTTTCAACCTTTTGTCAAAGTTTTTTTTTCCTCTCAAAAAGAGGAGATATTTTTTCCAATCATTTAGTATTGCCATGTATTTTCAAAAAATTGTATACATTTTATAAGTAAAATACAGCTAAAAAATAATAAACACTCCTTACTAGTGGTCGACCGATATATCGGCCGATAT